CTGTCATTTGTAAATTTAACGATGTCTAGAAGTATGCATTACATTTTGATAGTAGTTAAGAAATACTATCACAGAAACTTTCCAGTTGATGCAAATAACATTTGGGTAAGCCACAACGAAGGGAAAATGGCTTTTCGAACGATTCCGTCATTATAAAGAGGAAGGGATGGCCGTCCTCGACGTAAGAATAACAACAGATCTTCAATTCATGTGTGTGGTTTAGTGGGAAATGACAGAACATATATATATATATATATATATATATGTTCTGTCATTTCCCACTAAACCACACACATGAATTGAAGATCTGTTGTTATTCTTACGTCGAGGACGGCCATCCCTTCCTCTTTATAATGACGGAATCGTTCGAAAAGCCATTTTCCCTTCGTTGTGGCTTACCCAAATGTTATTTGCATCAACTGGAAAGTTTCTGTGATAGTATTTCTTAACTACTATCAAAATGTAATGCATACTTCTAGACATCGTTAAATTTACAAATGACAGAAGAAATTCTCGATTTAAACTCTCGTCACGAACAACTTAAGCGATTAAATTAGCTGTAAACACACTTGGGCATGCAGTAACGTGTCAGAAAACATCCATCGTTGCCATGTCTAGGCGTGATATAAATTCAGTCTCGACACAAATTCGGAAAACGCTCGATTGTATTCACTACCCAAAATACTGAAGGTCAGGATATATAAAACAGTGATTTTGTATGGTTGTGAAACATGGTCTCTTATTTTGAAGGAAGAACGTAGATTACAAGTAATGTGAATAACAGCATCTAGTGCAGTCATCTTGTCAATTACCTTTCATTTTAATTATGAAATTTGCTCGAACCATTTGACTATATGTGTTAATTTCCCTGATGCCACTGATGATGACATCTTGAGGTCGAAACGCGTATGACAATAGTGTCCATTATAGTGTTAATAGTTGTTGGTTTTGTTCACTCTATATTGTAAAATTATAGGTTTGATCACAAATCTGTATCTCGACTTTTGATTAGTGGTGTCTGCGATATCCCAGCTGTTTTTGTTTATGTAAATTCTCATAAATTTGTGTCGAGACTGAATTTATATCACGCCTAGACATGGCAACGATGGATGTTTTCTGACACGTTACTGCATGCCCAAGTGTGTTTACAGCTAATTTAATCGCTTAAGTTGTTCGTGACGAGAGTTTAAATCGAGAATTTCTTCTGTCATTTGTAAATTTAACGATGTCTAGAAGTATGCATTACATTTTGATAGTAGTTAAGAAATACTATCACAGAAACTTTCCAGTTGATGCAAATAACATTTGGGTAAGCCACAACGAAGGGAAAATGGCTTTTCGAACGATTCCGTCATTATAAAGAGGAAGGGATGGCCGTCCTCGACGTAAGAATAACAACAGATCTTCAATTCATGTGTGTGGTTTAGTGGGAAATGACAGAACATATATATATATATATATATATATATATTTTAAATTTACGAAGAGATAAAGAGGTTCTTATGGCTAATGCCACTCGATTTTAACCGAATAAGTTGTGTCTCAACTAAGGTAGTTATGGGACTTGTTACAGAGGCAGAAATAACTACTTGCTTATGGTATCTGCACATACCGATGAAAACTTTTACGAATACCATTAACAAGTAATGAAATATGGGCGTGTGTTTGACTTATAAATAAAAAAAGAACATGGAAAGACAAATATTTGATATCGTGGAATAAATTGGACACAAAGTAACGGAGCGTTGTTTGGTGATTTAAAAATCGATTTTGATTGGTGCGGCTTCCCAGCACCGGCAGGATTGGCGAACAAATGAGTACGCGGTGAAGTATCGAAGTGCGAGTGATTAATCGATTCTTCTCGATAGTTATCGATCAGGCATAATATATGTGAGGATAATCGATTGTAATCTGCAATAAGATGAAGATCAGTGAAACTAGCAATGAACTGGTTTGAGAAAATGTGTACGTATTTGAAAATTTAGAATATCGATAACACGTTATTTCCATATTCGAATCGGTTTTTGAACGTAAAGAAAAACGGTATTTTTCTTTCCTGACATTTCACTGTATTTCCGTCTATCTCTTTGTTCAAGAGAGACTCTTGTGAAGAAATGGATAAAAATAGGAAGGACGTTACAGTTTGTGTCCACTAAGGGTTTACTGAATCGATGAAAATACACTATCCGGTTAGCTGATGTGTATGCATGGCCTCTGAGCGTTTTTCACACTGAACTGCAGACTGCGTCTCGTGTTGTACACTCTCCTCTTGGATGTCGTACGGCGAATTAAAGTAGACATCATATTAGCCTTTTATACTACATTATTGGTTACTCCATAGTGTATTGTGTGTTGTTTGTACGATGCATATAAAATTAACGCTTATAGGGCTAATCGTTTCTGTTATAATGATTTGTCTTCATCATGAGAGAATATTTAGCACGCCATTTGTGACAAAATGGCAGCTACTTTTATCTGTATATATTTTTTGACGTAAATACGTCTATACGGAAGGGTCATTCGGCAGAAAAGCGGAACGAAAGTGTGTAAGATCCGTATCAACAAATCGACAACAATGGCAACCTGTTTTTTTATTATTAGTGTTGTCTGACGACAGGTCCATATGAACAGGATCCTTCCATCCTTTTCTCGGACTGGGACCTGTTCATATACGTTCTTGGCAGATGATCCAGAAGTGGTTTGCCATTGCCTTCTTCTGTGTGTGAATGGAGTAATTGTTGGGATGCCACGGAGGAAAACTCCGTGTTGCCTAGACCACGGCCTTGCCCAACACAAGTTATAAATTCGGGCACCGCCGGGAATCGAACCCGAGACCCCGGGATTACAAGGCCAGCGTTCTAACCGCTAGACCACCGCGGCCATCATTTATTTATTTAGTGTTCTGTCTGACGACAGGTCCATATGAACAGGATCCTTCCATCCTTTTCTCGGACTGGGACCTGTTCATATATTGTGCTCTTAAAAACGTTTTAGAATATCACAAGTACTTATCTTATATAAGAATTACTAAGAAATCTGTGATACTCCATTTTAGTTTGGATTAAATTGATAATTGCCGGTGAACATCGTGGTCTCTTACAATTGAACAAAGTTTGAGGTAAGGGATTCCTATTTATTATTATTGTTCATCGCATTTAATGTTTTTTAGTAGTGAAAACAAGGTCACTGTTAAACAATGAAGCTGTATAGACCGCGAAATACTTGGTACAATTTGAGGTTCTTAAGGCGGTGAGTATGAAGATGGCTTTATTCTGGGTTGTAGCGACGTGTAGTCTGGTGTAAGTTTATCAGCGTTTCAGAGGTCCTTGCTATCTCCATCATCAGTGTGATGAGTGACTCAGGTTGAGAACTCAGTATAGCTAGTGTCCGGGCCTGTCTTTGAACCCGGAACGTCCCGATTACGAAACAGGAGCGCTAATTAATCTGTCACGACGTTAGGGCATGGGTAGTGTTCCCGTTGTTTGAACAATTTGACAGAATTTTGGAGTTTTTGAGACATGTTGTTATTTCCAAGCTACCCCTCACTATAGTCCTAACATTCGAACTTTTAATTATAATCTGAGTAACTGAAAACGTCGTTAAATAAACTGTAAATAAGTAAACTGAGATAGCGATATGCAGGAGTTAAAACTTTTACAGAATGCGTTGTAACGAAAGTCACTGTTGTCATTTTCAGCTACAAACATAGCAGCCCTCTGGCGGGATTACGCTGAAATGCTGTAAGACGTATTTTTAGATGATACCTGACCTCGAATTATTGTATCGATTTGCAGTTGTCGATCCTTTTCACATTGTTATGAGTTCCGGTTGCTTGTTATTGAGCGTTTCTTAAACTGACACATTATAATTTTCTCTGTAGTTGCGTGACTGTAACTCTTTTGTAAGATGCTTTTAAAATGCGTAAAGTTTGAGTGAACAAACCTGACGGTATATCTTGATTTTAAAACGCGTTGGCGTAAACATGAAGCACAACGTAAGAGAAACTGCTCGAGGCTGAAAACTAACTTGGGGCCGTCTGCGACCTTGCCACTAGTACAAGCTCTGACTTGCTTTCCTTTTGCGAAGGTGTAGTTTATCGCGAGTTGTTGAGGTTAAGGGTACTCAACCTTTCTAGCAGGCGGGCCACATAGGAAAATGTCTGGGCTGGAGCATTCAAATATATACCATTATTAAAAAAAAATCAAAACCCAAAACGTACCTTATTTATTTAATGTGAAAATTTGGTTCCATATTTGAAATCCCAGTTCGCATCACATCATGCAAGTGCAGATCAGTAATTGTTGAACGGAACTTCGATTTCGTATATGAAAATGCCTGTTCACTTGTGCATATGATACCAAATACACTTGCCAAATTTCTTGTTAACTTACGTAACTCAGAGAACCGATGTACTGGTAAAAAGCAATGGCTAATTATAGCTTCCTGGTCGAGTCACACTGCAATTCAGTTCATGCTGAAATTTTTCTGGAGCCGGATACTCGCAGAAGTCAGTATTATTCCCTCAACTAAACCTATTTATTCACAGTCATAAGAATTTACGGGATTATACTTTTATCTTCGTTGTACATCAAACGTTTACAGTGGCCAAGGATGTAAAACTGAAAAACCCAACCAATAAGATAGTATACGGACTTTTACTTCTTTATTATGACATGTGATCTCGCTTGAATATTGATTTATCTTCAGTTGAAATACACATTAAAACTTCAAAACAATTTTGAGCAGTTGCAAGCAGATTTTAGATGCAGGTTTAATACAATGTGAATCAATAGTCAACTGTGCATTTATTTTTTCGTAAGATTAATGTGTATAAATATACAGGATGAGCACAAAAGAACTTAACACTTTCAAAATGATTCAGAAAACAAATGCGGCTTACTCAGTACTAAACACACACGCCAGTCGATAGAGATTTCGAAGTTTTATTTAAAATGACCCGCGTGATTGTTGTTGTTACGTGCCTTGCTAGATGCCACTAGTTTTGAAAATGGCCGCCCCATAACAGAGATGTTGCATTTAGCGAAGAAGGTCTGTAATAGCTGTGCCCAAGTATCCATTTACTCCTGGTACAAACAATTCCAACAACCATGGCTTCCATCACTATGGACTGTGCACAAAGTCTGGGACGAGTTTCCTTGTGAATCGAGGAACAAACATCGAGTTTCTGTGAATCGTGTACAAAACATTTCAGATTTTTTGTATCGACTGGCGTAGATGTGAAGTTGTAAGTACATCGCATTTGTTTTCTCTATTATTATGAAAGTTTGAAGTTATTTCGTGCTCATCCTGTATATTTACACGTATTAATCTTACGAAAACATAAATGTACACTGGACTACAAGCAGTGTTTGATTTATTTTTCTTGTGATTTATTCAGGGACGGTATAACATTGAATGATATGGTAATAAATTAAAATAAAATGTTAGGAAGCAGTAATGGCCTTGTGTATGGGAACTTACTATCCTCCTGGAATTTGCCTGGAGGGACTGAAAAACAACCACAAATACTTTCAGTCAGGATAGCTGGTATGTAGGTCAAAATTTGAATAGGAGAACTCTGGAATGTGAGGCAGTCACTTGTATTTTGCATGTGATATGTCGTGTATAAATTAAAGAAAATGCATATTTCATTCTAACTAGGTATTTTTGTATGCCCTGACAAAGTGTAGGAGGTAAGACATGACGTTCTGTGAAGGTGACTTGTCTCCTAGGAAGTCTTATGAAGCAACACAGTGTGGTAGTTATTTTAATGGTTAACTTGGTTCTGTTGGACAGTGTTTAAAAACCCCAGCTACTTTGGGCTTCTTGATAGTTTATCTAGGTTATTGACACTTAATTTTACTATATTCTACCCTTATTGGCACAGCAACGAGTTATGTATTTACTGAAAGTATTTCTTAATCGACATGGAAGTGAATGTACTTAAAATTAAAAAAAGAGATTTGGTACGTTTTAGAATAATTTTAATAACTTACAGTTGTCAGTTATTCACAGTGTTTTATCTTGTTTTGTTAATCAGTTGAATGAGGTTGGTGATGGATCCGCTTGGCACGGCAGCCGAGGTAGTGGAATTGGAATCGCTGAAACGATGGAGTCAGACCCCACCAGTGCATCACCTGACAGACTACAGTGCCATAGGAGAGGAACAGAAGCATATAACCAGTCCCTTTCCATTCGACCCTTCGATCAATGACAAAATAGCGCTGTGGTATGCACACATGAAGTAACTTTGGTGTAATGAAAGAGTTATCGTTGCATCACCTCAAAACAACAGGTCGGAGGGACAGGGACTACTACCTTTTGGCCCAACTGGTTTTAGTGGCCCTACCAGGGTCACTCGGAGGAGCCGGGATAGCTCAGTCAGTATAGGGACTTGCTAAGGGCTGGACGACTGGGGTTCGATCCCCGATGGGGCGCAGAGGATTTTTATTCTAGTCTCTGCATCCACCCAAGTGTTCTTTATATTCACTGTCTGTAAATATTCCAATTTACTTAAACCCTCAAAACATTACAGTGATTACATTGTTCAAAATAAAGCGTATAAAAATTAGATTTTTAGAAAGTTTGTTATAAAATTTTACACAAACCAATTCGTTTCATGTATTTATATTTTGTACTTTTACATTCTAAGGGTTTTAAAATGATTCTACCCCTTACGAGCCATATTGGTCGTTTCTCCTGCTTTGAGCATTGGATGATGTAGTTTTTTGTGATTTTGATGAAAGTTCTGTTCTTAAATCTTTAATGATTTTCATGTGCGTGTAAATTTTGTTTATAGGTCAGGAGATATTTCTCTTCTGTCTGTGGATGCCATTGTAAACTCCACCAATGAATCTATGACAGAAAGGAGTTCGATAAGCGATAGGATATATTCCAGAGCTGGACCAGCACTCAAAGAGGAGGTACGCCAAGACGTGAAGGGTGAGTGAATGTTAGGGATTTTGTTGATAATTCCATTGTGCAAGTATTTTGCACTGTCATAATAGTTACTACAGAAGTAATAACATTCTATTATTTATGTAAATCTTCCTTTATGATTATAATTCTTTAATGGTACCTGCACCTTGTCGTGGTGGTGGGGCTTGAGTACCTCAGTGACCCCAAGAGCTACTGGTAGGGCCTCCTTAGCCAGATTGGTCGAGGAGGAGAGGTCAGACTAAGGCAGGTACCCTGGTCCTCCAGGTTGGGGGTTGGTCGCAAGACTAACAACCTTGCACCATAAAAAGGAAGATGTTTCGAAACCTCGATCAAAGCCTCGGACAGACGGACCTAACAGAGGACCGAATGGAAGAGGTGAATTGAGGAGGCCATGGACCGAATACGAACCAGAGAGCCATAGAAGAAGAAGATGTAATAATTTTTCTTGTTCTGTAAGACTTCTGTCTAATGTCAAATATATAAATTAAATGGGTCTGAATATTAAAAAATGAATGAATACGTTTGGAGTTGACAAGTGAGCACGCGCTATTTTCATGAATTATGGAATAAGTCTTAATATTTAATAGAGATACGTTTAATCGATTTATCAAAATTAATTAATGAGGGCAGGTTTGAAATGCGTTGGAAGGATGAGATTGCAGTATGAAAACTGCGATATTCATTCTTGTTGGAAATATGTCTGACGTTTACTCTGTTATTTGTATTATGAGGTAGGATTAAAAAGGTTAAGAACATAACGAGCTCTGGCTTAAGGTTTGTGCGTCATTCAGTACTGTGTCATCGCTCATATTCGTATTATTGCAATTAAGAAGCGTGGAATATTTGTCTTTGTGATCTGATATCATGAAGCCTGAATAAAGCCTTAACAGGATTTTAAACATCTTGAAGGAATGTAGTAACCAGATCTGTAAGTAACTTTGGACCTGTTACATGTGAGACTGAACCAGAGCAAAATCAAAATGTTGTATCGTATATAATGTGATTTGTAGCAATAGATGCACCGAAAATATAGTGAAAATAGTAGCGTCCCATCAGCATACAGCGGTGAGTCTTTGTAGTTTCAGAAAAGGGGAGGGACTATGAGGAAGTGGGGAAGAAGAGAGAATTTTTGCTCTTTTCGTAGTAAGACTCTTATCTCTGCATTTGAAAATGTGACTTTGTAAAGGAACTACAATACTTTATAGGTTTCTGATATTACAGTACTTTTGTGTGCAGTACGTCTGATTATCGGTATGTAAAGGGACCACCAGAAATCAGATATATTGTTGTTTCAGGAGTGCAAACAATTTTGTTTGAGGTCAAATTTAACAGCGAGGTAAAATTAAGTATAAAAATGATTTTTTGTGCTGTACCGCACTGAAATGATATCTGCTTGATATTTTCACCGTATTGAAAATGTGGTCGTCCGAGTTACGATGCTGTTTAGTCTTGTTAGGTGGTTACTATTATCATTAGGGTTGGAGATAGAAGCTGTTTGTTCTTGAAACCTTTGGTAATCACAACACTACACAGCATAATCCTAGATGGCTGTCTTCTAAGTTGTAGTGCCAATGTTTCAGAGGTCGTTACTGCCTCCATCAGGTCATTGATTGCCGTGTTGGTGGAGGGAGCAAAGACGTCTGAAATGTTGGAAAATTCGCTTCATGAATAGTCTGATCATTGTATAGCCAGGCCTAATTGCACTAAATAAATTTACTGAACGTCAATGAAGTCCTCTTGGGCAATGAGCCGTAAGTGCGGAGATGTGATCCCAATGTTTGGGGCACTGTCTCTGTCTGTATTGTAGTTCCACACTTAAATGGATGATTTCCCAAGAAGACTTCGTTACATTCATTTGTCATGAAAGCTTCGAATCTTAAATATTCAACATCAGTGTTTAAACATATTGTTTGTTATATTACTGAAGAGTAGTGTGTTCACTTTTGTTTGCAGAATGTCGGACTGGAGAAGTACGAGTAACCCAGGGCCATAATCTGCCAGCACGATATGTGATCCATACTGTTGGCCCAAAGTACAACATAAAATACCAAACAGCAGCAGAGAATACCTTACATTCCTGTTATAGGTTGGTAACTCTTAAATAGTACTTATTGAACCTTAGGATTCAAGAAAAAGCAGTGCTCCATCTAGTTCATTTAGTTGTTTAACGAATCGCATAACACATTTGAAATGAAAAAGAAAATTGCAAAGCTTTCTGCCGATTTATAAAGTGAAGCTATCGCTGCGACCGAAGTCGACGAAAGACTCCCGGGCAACCAGCCACGTCAGGTGGCTGAATGGTGAATGAACCATTTCTTCCGCCAATGTTTCGAGAGCCATCTCTGCTCTCAAAACTTTGGCGGAAGAAATTTTTACTGATTCTTAATAATGTTCTACTGTAGAAAGAAACTTGTTGAAATTTAGCAGGGAATTATTCATTTTACGTCTTAATGTACCATTCTTCTTCATCTTCGTTTATATCCACATCTTTCTCTTATACTGTTTGAATATGCCCCGTGCCATTTATTTAATTTTGTATTTATTATGTTGTCTTTTACTCACACAAACAATTTAAATTATTTTGAACGTACCACTCAAGTTAAGTTGTTCTTTAGCTCGTGTCCTGCTCTGTTACACAGGTTCTTATTTTTGCCATCTTTTCTCTACCCTTTTATTTATCCTTATTAATACTCTCAGTGTCTGCCTATTGTTAATAGTGAAGTTGCCAACAGTATGGAGTTAATTTTTCATTACCTTCGATTCCAGAAATTTGTAACGTTTCGGTATTGCAATAATTTTAAATGTAATTTATTTCGCTGTGGCCTGTGAAAAAAACAGTCTTAACAAAATCAGTGTCTGGCTCGCATGTTTCAATATGCCGACCCTTTCTTATCTTGAAGTATTATTTTCAGGAATGTTCTTCAGAAGGCTTGTGAGCTGAATTTACCTGCAGTTGCCGTGTGCGTCATCAACTCAGTTCGGAGGAACTTCCCTCCAGATGAAGGTGCACACATAGCATTGCGTAAGTATTTATTGGTAGTTTTTTTTGTTTATGAAAATATATACTGTTTCATAATATGTGAAAGACTGATATGAACTGTTATTAGGGCCCAATATTTGTCATAACTGACATTGTCTTAATTGTGGGTAAAAACATAAATTGAATTTTAAAATATCTTCTCTTTCGAACTGGACTTCCGATTAATATAGAAGTAATGTTATAAAATTTCTTTTGAAAGTTCCTGAACACATTTAATGTGTTTAAAAGAAATGTGTTTAAGTGTAAGTGATTTATTTTATATGAATAATATTCTCATTGGCTTAACATAGAAAAAATACAATAACATGGAAGAAATTAATAGTGTCATTTGTCGTCTGGTTATGATGCTGTGTAATATTATAGGTTAAATGAATATTGGTAACCACCTGCAATGGTACGTGTCATCGCGGAACAGATGACTGCAGATAATGTCTACACCACTATGAGAAATTTAAATTTCAGAAATTAATTGGTTTCGTTGTTTTTAACTTGTTCCTCAGAACTACACTTTTCTGTTATTTATTATGTATGCACTGCCAAGACTTCAATGTTAATAATTAATTGCAGGCACGGTGAGGAGGTTCCTGGAACAGCACAGAAATTCTTTAGATGTTGTGATATTTGCGGTGGATAACATCGATGTAGGGATTTATGAAGTATTGCTCCCCTTGTACTTTCCACGATCGTTACAAGAGGAAGAAACAGCTTTATGGCAGTTACCTGCCAATGTAGGAGGTCCTGATGGTGAACCTATACTCCCAGATAGACAAATTCGCATCATTGATAACCCTCAGCATTCATTAGATGGTGAGTTCAATTATTATCACATTGCGTGCTTTCATTGTGTGAAGCACGTGATGAAAAATTTGTTAAAACGTACGAATTATAATAAGTTTGTGAATGTAAGATTTGAGGTTTTCACAGCGGTGAGTATGAAGATTTCTGGCTTCTGGGTTGTTGCGCTGTGTAGTCTGGTCGATGTTTACCGACGTTTCGGAGGTCATACAGCCTCCGTCATCAGAGTATGAAGATTTCTGGCTTCTGGGTTGTTGCGCTGTGTAGTCTGGTCGATGTTTACCGACGTTTCGGAGGTCATACAGCCTCCGTCATCAGAGTATGAAGATTTCTGGCTTCTGGGTTGTTGCGCTGTGTAGTCTGGTCGATGTTTACCAACGTTTCAGAGGTCATACTCATCGCCCTGATGACGGAGGCAGTATGACCTCCGAAACGTTGGGAAACAGCGACCAGACTACACAGCGCAAGAACCCAGAAGACAGAAATCATCAAGTTTGTAAATGCTTATTTCTTCAAATTTGGCAACTTCACTAGAGATATTCTGTGTTCTCCTGTTTTCACTACAGAATTAACGATGTGTTTCCAATCAAAATTCCCTGAAAAGAGGAATTTTCCATGCGTAGCATCAAACATTAGTTAAATTGGTTGTGTGTGTGAGATGAAAAGTGTGGACAAATGGGAGATAGAATAAAAAAAAATAAATGGGTATGGCAAAGCTTCGCACACTGTCTCGGTAAGTCCTTATCACGACAGCAGATAACATAATTTTCTGCCCCCCCCCCTACACACACATTTTTAAAAAAAATTGTTTTTCATGTTGGAATCTCAGTTGCAAATTTACGTCTCCACCATCTTTGCATTTTAAACACATTCTTGAATTTCCAGTACCAGTCAAAATTAATTTGTTTTGAAAGTCAGGTGAACCTCCACCCTTTTGTATTATGTTCTGCATCATGGGCGGGTTATTACAGTTTTTAATTGTCACTAACTCCGTACGTTAAATGTGTACCATAATACAGAGACATGTTAAATTTGAGTTCTACCATGAATATGTGTGCAATTTTTTAGACATACTGTATTTGTTGCTTTATAATGACAAAAATGAAATGTAATTTGTGTAGACTTAGGCTGGGGCCATACCACCGTAAAAAGTATGTCCGTTGAAACGGACATACTTCTGTACGGACGTAGGTGAGGACACCACACGAGCGCCAATTACCTTGGCAGCTTGAAGGGATTTAGAAAAAAAAATAGTATTGTCTGTACTTACAAATCATAATTCTATGACGGATGTCACGATGTGCGTTACAATGGATGTACTTTGTACGGTCGTGTGGCCCCAGCCTTAAGCCCTTCTTACTGAGTACAAAACATGTAAGGCTACTGCTTCTAGCATAATATAAAATGCTTGTATTTGTGCGTTCATGGACGGTGTACCATAGAAATGAATTTTTATGTGTTAACGTCATATAACCCACATAAAATGGAAATGTTTGAGGAAGAAAGAGAAAAATATTTATCATCCTATTTTGTTACATTTTAATATTATGATGTGTTTTCAAAATATAGTAGGTCATTATGAGGAAGTTATATATATAGTTCCGCCATGATTTCTGCTAAACTGAGTTTGACAAATACTGATGTTACTAATGTTAATTCTTCATCTATGGCTCTCCGGTCCGTATTCGGTCCATGGCCTCCTCAAATGTTAATACTTGTTCTTAAAGTTGTGAATTTTGTCTGTGTGTGTGGAAATGTAAAATATTTTTAATTGCTACACATGAAACTTGTTATAACTCTCTATTGAGATCATTTCATAATATTTTTTTTTAGCCCTCTGCACCTTAGACCAGTGATATTCAACCTGGGGTACGCGAAGACATCTTAGGGTGTACGTGAAATTTAAAAAAATATATTTTATTTTATGATTAATCAGTAATGTAATTAATTAAATTTAATTTAGATGTAGATTATATACTATGTATAACTTGAATTATACACCTACATCTTTTGGGGTACAAAGTTGAAGAGAAATTATATCTTGGG